TTTTGAGTCGAGTCTCACTCTGTTGCCCAGGCTGGAGTGCAGTGGTACGCTCACAGCCACCACAGCCTCGACCTGCTGGTTTCAGGCCAGCCTTCTACCTCAGCCTTTCAAGTAGCTGGAACCACAGGCATGAGCCACTATGCCCAGATGATTTTTTGATTTACTGTAGAGACAAGGTCTTGCCATGTTGCTCAGGCTGGTCTTGAACCCCTGAGCTCAAGCAATCCTCTCGCCTCCGCCTCCCAAAGTGCTGGAATTACAAGCATGAACCGCGAAGCCCGGCTCGGAGCTTCTTTACAGCACGAATGATTTAGGTCACTGATGGGCATGGTCCTAAGGGAGCAGTCTGCCCCACCTGCTACCACTGCACTAGAGGGTTTCCACTTACTGGAAGGGTTTTCAAATAGCCAGAATTTCTGTCCTGATTTCTCGTGCTTAGGTCATGTCTTTTTAAAGTCCCATCTGTCTTGCTCTGCGATGTTAGTCTTTCTAGAAGTAGAAGAAGTTCGTACTAGGGAGAAAAGTAAATGGTGCTTTTCAAATGGTGTTTCTCAAAGACTCGCTGTGCAGGCCCTGGGAAACATCCTATTCTTAAAAGGCATCAGGGTGGGAAAGCTTCCGGAGAAAAAGACAGTAAGTAAGAGGGCTTCTTGGGAATTTAATGAAATTTTACTTCTTCTCCTGTACCAAAACTAAGCCTTAACTCATGTCTGTTCCATGTGGGCTGACAAGGAAAGCTTTCTTAAGTTTGCAAATATAAAAAAGATGACGTCCCAGCATAGTGGCTCACACCTGTAATCCCAGCACTTCGGGAGGCTGAGGCAAGAGGACTGCCTGCGCCCAAGGGTTTGAGACCCGCCTGGGCAACACGGCAAGACCTCATCTCTACAATAAATTAAAACACTAGACAGGCATGGCGGCATGTGCCTATAGTTCCAGCTATTTGGAAGGCTGAGGCGGAAGGATCGCCGGAGCCCAGCAGGTTGAGGTGGCCGTGCACTCCAGCCTGGATGACAGAGTGAGACTCTGACTCAAAAAAAAAAAAAAAAAGAACTGTGTATGAAGCAGAGGAGAGTCGTGGAGTTTCTAACTTGAATTTTTCAGATGGTAGGGTGGTACCCTAAGAATGCCAACAAAAGAGAGGCACCCATGCTCTGTCCTGCTGCCTGCTCTACTTTTAGACCACTGGAGGTATGAGTGAAATTATACTTGGAGCAAAGACACAGACTTCTAGGTCTACAGAGATTTAATTCCCTTCTCTAAATGATGTAAATGTCCTAATCTGAGGGCCAGGTGCCGTGGCTCACACCTGTAATGGGAGGACAAAGTAGGAGAATCACTTGAACCCAGGAGTTCGAGACCAGCCTGGACAATACAGTGAGATCACAACTCTACAAAATACAAAAATTAGAGGGGTGTGATGGTGTGAACCTGTAGACCCAGCTACTCGGGAGGCTGAGGTAGGAAGGATCGTTTGAGCCTGGAGTCTGAGGCTGCAGCGAGCCATGACTATGCCACTGCACTCCTGGCTGGGTGACAGAGTGATACCCTGTCTAAAAGAAAAAAAGAAAGAAAAAAAAAATTTCTCATCTGCCAGATGGATATACCTAAGTAATTCCTAAGGACAGTAAACAAATAACTGTCTGAGACGAAGGGGGGGTGACAATAAAACCAAGTAAAATGAGGGAAAAACTGTTTGTCTTGGAATAAAAATTCAATTTAACCAAGAATACTGAAGTTCGTCACACAGACCTATACCATACACCAGCTGGATGCAGAGACAAGTAGGACATCCGTACTTCAGGTAAGCATCTAGTCAGTATGTGACACATCAACACAACTCATTCAACTATAACACATATCCTGTCGGCTGGGTGCAGCGGCTCACTCCTATAATCCCAGCACTTTGGGAGGCCGAGGTGAGAAGACTGCCTGAGCCCACGGGTTTGAGACCAGCCTGGGCAACTTGGCAAGACCTCATCTCTACAATAAATCAAAAAATTAGCCAGGCATGGTGGCGCATGCCCGTAGTCCCAGCTACTTGGAAGGCTGAAGTGGAGGGATTGCCTGAGCCCAGTAAGTCCAGGCTGCAGTGGCTGTGGGCGTGCCACTGTACCCAGCCGGGGCGACAAAGTGTAATTCCTACTAAAAAAAAAAAAAAACCCTAAAAAACAAAACAAAAAAACCCATATCCTATCACATCCAATTCACTTTAATTCTCTGGCTCTCCAGACTTGAAAGCTCTCTTCCTGTTTTAGGTGTAAGGTAACTCAGCTCAGTTACCAAGAGTCATGGCAACATCAAATATTAAGGCTGAGAGGGTTTTAACGCTCTCCTAGCCTCTCTCTCTCACTTTGAGACGAGGAGGTTGTGTGCCTTGTCCAATACACACAGCTAGTTAGTGGCAAGACCAAAAGCGGAACTTGAATCTCTGTGCTCCCAGCAAAGTGCCTTTTAGCCCTTGCTATCTTCCTGATGACTTTTGAAATAAAAAAGTGCCAGGTGCAGTGGCTCGTGCCTGTAGTCCTAGCACTTGGGGAGGTGGAGGCGAGAGGATTGTCTGAGCCCAGCAGGTTTAGACTGCCGTAACTGTAGGTGTACCACTGCACTTCAGCCTGGGCAACAGAGTAAGATTCCAACTCCAAAAAATAAAAAATAAAAATAAAATAAAATAAACAAGTAAGAATACACAATTTAAAAAAATAGCTGGGCATGGTGGCATGCGCCTGTGGTTCCAGCTACTTGGAAGACTGAAGCGGAAGGATCGCCGGAGCCCAGCAGGTCGAGGCTGCGGTGGCCGTGAGCGTGCCACTGCACTTCAACCTGGGTGACAGAGTGAGACTCCAACTCAAAAAATAAACAAGCAAATACATTAAAAAAAAAAAAAAAAAAGCCGGGCTCGGTGGCTCAGCCTGTAATCCCGCGCCTTTGAGAGGCCGAGGTGAGTGGATTGCCTGAGCCCGCGGGTTCGAGACCCGCCTGGGCAACTTGGCGAGACCTCATCTCTACAATAAATCAAAAAATCAGCCGGGCATGGTAGCACATGCCTGTAATTCTGGCTACTCGGAAGGTGAGGCGGAAGGATCGCTGGAGCCCAGGAGTTTGAGGCTGCGGTGGCTGTGAGTGGCCACTGCACGCCAGGTCTGCACGCCGAGTGAAACTGCAACTCAAAAAAAAAAAAAAAAA